TCCCAGTGCCCTTTGCTTTGATAACAAGGAGACCATGACATTGTGGGGACTTCTCCTGCTTTCTCATGAAGCGGAGGGGGAAAGGAAGTTGTCTTCTTAGACGCGGTTCTTCTAAACGGAGGCAGGAGGAGACCTGGCATCATCCATTTCTGTTCTTCTTCCCTAGTTGGGATTGGAACTCTGGGCCAGCTGGCACCTGCTGCAAGGGTGACTGGGTTAGGTTCAGATGCGAGAATGAGCCCCCCTTTGCAGTGGCCCCAAAAGGCAGCTCCAGGCTCAGAGTAACTTTATTTAGGCCCTCGCTTGTGCATGCAGAAGCAGACGGTCAGCACCAGTACGCCCTGATGCTTTGTTTCTGAAGGGGTCTGTCCTGGTCTCCGAGGCCAGGGGATGGTTTTGAGCGATAGCCCACTGAGTGTGGAGTGGAGAAGGCTTATTCAGATCCTTCCACGTCAGCCCCAAGGGTGAGGAGAATGACACACAGACTCCTGGACCGTTTGCAGACAGGGTCACGTTAGGGTCATGTGGAACTTGGCGGTCACATGGCAGAGTGGAAGGTTGGGGAATCGGAAGCCTCTGGCTTTCCTGAAGGCCAGCTGAGGGAAGGTCTCTCTGTACCTTCCTGTGTAAATGGCTCCCAAGAGGCCCCGGCTTGTCTTTGATGATTGCGTCACAAGACCGTTGTGGGGAATGACTCAACGTGACGCTTGGCGGTGTCGTGTGAGCGGCACTTGCCGTCGTCCGCACTCTTCGTTGCTTGGAGAAGTGTTAGGATGCAGTCACAGCTTGCAGTCCAGTTGCTGAGAACGATGAAACAGGAACAGCAGACATCTGTGGCAGGCTTACTCCAGGCAGCTCCTTTTTTGGAACGGGAAAATTCCACTTACTCTTATTTTTACCCCTTAAAGCAGAACTGGACAGAGATGGGACCCTGGCCCAGCATGCCAGAGGAATAAACCGTGGCAGCTCCTCCCGGCAGGAGCTGAAGCAGAAGGAACCCAGTTATCTGGCATGTGGTGTCCCAGATTTGGAGCTGATTCCTGCTGTGCGAGTCTCAGAATAGTCACCTTGAAACGGGCTGAGGTTGGGGGGCGAGAAACACCCCTAATCAGACCTTTAAAAGTGTGCTTGAAAGCCAGAGAATACCGGCTGTGTTCCCCGTCTCAGTTCCCAGCCTGGGAGGCAACTGTGTGGGGCTCTGAGATACAGGGCGAACCCACACCCCGGCCTCACACACGCATGCACACACATGGAGTGAGCCAGGTGTAGGTCGTTGAGACCTACCAGAGAGGTCAGGTGGAGATTGACAACACCCTTTGAAAATGAACTACTGTAGTGCAGTGTTATGCTAGGTAATCATAACCACTCTTCAGAGAAGGCTGGAAGTCATTCTGGGATGGCTTCATAGGACAGCCGTGCTGTTCTAAGTGCTCACATGTATTTTGGCAACACATGCACTAAAGTTAGAAAAGCAGGGAAGATTTGCATGACACCATTCAGAAAAATCCGCATTAAAAATGAAATTGGGGCTGGGCGGTGGTGGTGGTGCACGTCTTTAATCCCAGCACCCGGGAGGCAGAGCCAGGAGGATCTCTGTGAGTTCGAGGCCAGCCTGGTCTACGGAGCAAGATCCAGGACAGGCACCAAAACTACACAGAGAAACCCTGTCTCAAAAAACAAACAACAAACAAGCACTGAAGTTGGAATTTAGTAGCGAACAATGATACCCAGAAATCTAAAGTATGCCAGAATCCACAATACTTTTTGGTTCTCAGAAAACGTCAGACGTTCAGGTCAAAGCTGCTCAGCTGGTGAAACCTGGGCAAATAGTCCTGAACTCCAGCTGTTGTGATCGCCGGAATAATTCCCGTTTCTAGCATTTCTGACTTGGGGTCTCCGACCTCAGAGCAGAGATGCTAGCCAGCCACCAGCCCCCTGCCAATGACATTTCCGTCTTTGGGAAACAGTGGAGGACAAGGGTCAGTGTCTTACTCAGGTAGCTTACTGGGCCTGGTTTCTCAGGAGCCAGGTGTGTCTCTTCCAGCAGAGTTACCAAGCAGTGATAGTATCCCATTTAGTCGTGGACTGCTTCCTCACAGTCTTGGTTCCCAGGCCCTTGGCTGGATTACCTCATTATTAAACTTCTGGGTTCAGGGCACTTCCCTCTAGTTGGCTTTTGTTTCCCGATTTTGCTGTATTTCTGGAGCCTTCCACACAAGCCTGTCATCCATGGGTGTTCTTGGAAATGAAGTGTGGAAATAGGAATCGTGTGTTGTGTATCTCGGGGTGTAAGTGATGTCAGAGCTGTCAGAGGCCTTGTGGGTGGACGGAGGTGCCCTCCTATATTTGGAGGTGGTGGGGATGTGTCTGAAAGCCCTTCGCTTGGGGCCATGACTCCTGTAAAGCCAGCCTTCTCTGTAAAGCTGGGGAAGCCCTGTGAGGGCCCAGTGTGGTTCAGCTGTCTAGAAACCGCTTTTGTGCAGGGTCCAAGGGAGTAGACAGGAGCTGTGTGTAGGGCACCTGCTGCAGGAGGGTCCCTGGAGAGAGAACGTGGACGTGCTTATGTCTGAAGAGGGGGAGGGAGCCAAGGCTGCTGCGGTGGGATATTTCAGGGTCCCCATTCTTTGCCTCTTGCTGCAGAGACAATACATTGTAATAGGGACAGTGGCATGAGACCAGACGGTCCAGAGCAAGACAGGCCTCATACAGATCCAGCCCTGGAGTTTACCTCCATGGGCACTGGCCAGGGGCTGCCGGATGACTGGGTGGCACTTCTGGGGTGAGGACAGGACATAGGCAGAGCGACACTAGGTCAGCCACACCCCACCACTGTCCCAGCCAAACCCAGAAAAGAAATTCTGTGCCCCTTGGAGACCCGTAGGTCAGCCCACATATCCACCGTCTCTCACTCCAGAGCTTCAAGAACATGTGTGTTTTGGGCTTGCCTGCTAGTGACCCACAGAGATGATTTCTCTGCAGTTGGGATATCACGTCACTCAGGTATCATTAAAGTTAGAGCTCAGAGGACCCTGGGAAAGATTTTCCAATCTCCATGCAAATTCTGCTTTCCCCAGACCCTGGTGAGTGTGCCTAGCCTGGACCTGATCTCTATGTTTTCCCAGCGCCAAGAATGGCAGATTGCTTTGCAAACGCTGTTTTTCCTTTGAAGTCTGACTTTAGCTGTCTCATCAGGAAACGTTGGGTTCCCTATCTCTTATTTCAAAAGTAAAATCAGGGAAGTAATGCTGACAGCCACCCCAGCTTGTGTGCATTCACCCCTGTGAGCAGGTTTGGGCCGTTGGGATATCCTGGTAGAAGCACGTGCTGACCCTTGGCTGAAACTGTGACTATTAGCCGTAGTCGTGGCAGCCGGTGCTGCGCACACCGCCTGAGTGACACTCTACTTCTTGCTCACCAGGATGGCATCCTTGCCATTTCCTGGCTGGGGTCACTGAGGTGGAGGGAGGTGGCTCTGGTGAGGCTGGTGGGGTAGCCCCGGTTTAGACAGAGTTGGTAACGGTGGTAGAGTGTGGGTACAGCTGAGCTTTCAGCTCTTGTCCTTGGGGTGTCTGCTCTGTGTCAGGTGTGACGGAAGGAAGCCCTTCTGAGAAGGGATGTCGTCTCTCTAGCTGAAGGATCTGATTTGGGGACCTGAAGTCGCAGAGTTCTCCTGTGGCTTTGACATTTAAAGTTTTAGTGGGAACTCGCTAGTACATCTCCACCGGACCCTTTCCCGGGCTCCCCTTTGCTTGGCAGGATGGGAGATGCCGGCACCAGTGTGGGTCTGTGTGTTGCAGTGTTGGAAGGGTTCGTTATATTCTGTCATTGCAAAGCTGAAAGAGAGGACAGGCAGGCAAGCAGAACTCCTTGGTAAGTCAGATGAGGTGGACACAAGAGAAGAGAGGACTGGTGTGTGTGTGTGTGTGTGTGTGTGTGTGTGTGTGTGTGTGTGTGTGTGTGTTCACATTTGTGCTGCGTGCTTGTGTAGGAAGGACGGCCAGTCCCCCTGGCCTCTGTAACCACTTATTTAATGAAGGCCTTGGACACTTGGAGTTGGTGTGGAGGATGTAGTTATTCAGCTTTGTGGGTGATGAAGTGACCCAGACCCGAGATTGGGCCAGAAGTGGCTCTGGAAGGTTCTTGCAGACTTGTTTCGAGGTCAGTGGGTTCCCTGGGGTTCCTGTGAGGCATCTACACAAAGGACCCGAGATGAGAGCCAGGAACTGACGCATTCCCCACAGTAAGACAGAAGCCCTTGAGGGAGCGACCAGAGGGGATTTGTCTAAGCAGCGTGTCTCTGGAGGTGACATGTCTCCCCCGTGCAGACCTCATCGTCCAGTCCTGGCTGTGTTGGGGGGCCGCCTTTGGGCCCCCTTCCCCTTTGTCCCGCAGGCCCCAGGTGGTTCTCGCTAACCCGTGTGGTCTCTAACCCCGCTTGTCAGTCGGCTGCACCGCCCTGTCTCCACTGTGCAGTTTCCTCGGTAGCTTTGTCTAACGTGTGTGGTAGTCGGGCATCCCTCCCTAACTGTGACCTGTGACTCTGGAGACACCATCCTCATGCCGTTGTCTGTTGCCCTCCCGAGCACTGGGTTTCCCTTGAGGAGAATGCAGGTTCTCAGGTGCTGCTAAGCATGAAAAAGCATTGCCGGGCTTTGAGAGCCCGCCCCCGCCCGTGTGCCAGGGGGCGAGAAGCTGTCCATTCACGTATTAAGTTCTACGTGAAAAGTCTACATGCCTCGGCCAGGGTTCCTGGCATTGCCCAGAGGCCGTGCCTTCTAACCAGAAGGGAGCACGGGTTCTTAAATAAATACTGCAATCGGAGTTCAGCTCTAAAAATGCAGCGCTTGTGGGAGATGTCTAAAATCGACTCCTAAGTTCTCCCAGCCAGCCAGCCCACTGCGGCCACCTGGCTAGAGTGTAGTTTTCCGCAAGCGAAGCCCGTGTCTGTCTGCCCCTCACCCTCCGTGCCCTTCTGTAACGTTGCATTTTGTGTATGGCAGGTGGCAGGTTCAAGAAGGAGATTGTGGTTGATGGCCAGAGTTATCTGCTGCTGATTAGGGATGAAGGGGGCCCCCCTGAGGCACAGGTGAGTACTGCATGCACACCCAAGCCAGACTGTCGTTTGTTCGCTGATGACCTTATCTAAAAGCCCGAACAAGAAATGTCATGTTTTAAAATAAGGGAATTTAGAAACACATGAAGTTTGGATCTGTGTGGCTGATTTTTTAAGTTTTTAAGAAGGAAGAAAAAGCAGATGCATCTGTGTGACACACTGTCAGGGTGGCTTCTAGAAATTTCTGTGCTTTTAAAAAATTGTCCTGTCCCGTGTCTCCCCCGCTCACCTCCCCATTTGATCCCAGGGTAACATCATTTTCAAAGTCCGCTGGGTGGGATTAGCCACTTGCTGTTCGTGGCAGCGACAGGCGTGGACATCCCCGCCCTCCCACCAGGCCTTCTTAGCCCACGTCAGTCCCCAGGGAACAACCAGTTTTTAGGGTACTGTGATCCCCTTGAACTATATCTAGAGAGGTCGCAGCACCGCTTTTATCCGGCTTACTGTCTTCTACATCTACACCATGATCTTCTCCATGAAAAGAGCTGAGACCTAACCACAGCCCACACCCCGCTAGGGAAGGCCGCGTAGGGCATTTCTGTCTTTTTTTTTTTTTTTTAAAGATTTATTTATTTATTATGTACACAGAAGAGGGCACCAGATATCATTACAGATGCTTGTGAGCCACCATGTGGGTGGCTGGGAATTGAACTCAGGACCTCTGGAAGAACAGTCAGTGCTCTTAACCTCTGAGCCATCTCTCCAGCCCCATTTCTGTCTTGAACATCTCTCCCTGTTGGCTGGGATCGTGGTGGTGACTAGGGCAGATGTTGCTGAAGAACCCAGTACCCGCTGTAAGTGCTGCTGTCACTGTGGAACACCAGCTAAGTTTAGGAGAAGGCTGCCAGCGAAGCTGTGAAAAGCGGTTAGGAGGCACAGCCAGAGACACCGAGGTGAAATTTTATCCCCTTGATGTCATTGAGATAGTAGCTCCTTTCGCCGTTGCTGCGATAAAATGCCCTAGGAAAAGCAACTTGAGGGAGGGAGGGAGGGAGGGTTTATCCTGGCTCACAGTTTAAGAGCACAGTCAGTCCAGATGGCCGGAGAGGCTGAAGCAGCTGGTCACGGCACATCCTCAGCTAGGAAGCCCAGAGTGATGACCGCGTGCTGCTGCTGCTCAGCCCCCTTTCTCCACTTGCACAGTCCAGGATCCCAGCCAAGGGAATGGCGCCGCCCACAGTGGGCGTGTCTTCCCACTTCAACTCAGTCAAGGTAATCACCAGCAGATACGGCCAGAGACCCATCTCCAAGGGACCCGTCTAGATCCTGACAAATTGACTTGAACCGTCACACAGTGTACTTGATGGTTAGGAAAAAAGAATTGTGAGGGCATGCTGAAAGTGAAAAGCGCTGGTTTTGTAGCAGTTAGAGGGCATGCTCCCCGAACACTTCCACCTTCTGGATCACCGCAGCGTTTGGCTTCTGACCGGTGCCACCCAAAGGCAAAAATCTCTCCTCTTCACGTGGCTTGGCAGACGAGGAGTGTGTTCTCTAAGAAGGGTTCTCAGTGTGTGTACGTGCCATTGGAACTCGAGGGTGTGGAGTCTCTTGTGTAAATATTCCACATTTAAATGATTACGGTTTGTTGTGGTAGGTGTTACTTTACACACACACACACACACACACACACACACACACACACACACACACACACACACACACTGGGTGCCTTGCCTTGGCCATAACCACTTACCCTGGATAAGCTTCTTTTCGAGAAGGGGCTCTCGTGTTTGTTTGTACACGTAAAGAGAAGAGCGTTTAGTACCAGACTGAGACAGGATCTAGAAGCTGTCCTGTCAGCTTCTGAGAGTGGCATTGTGGGGAGCCCCACCCCCTCAGCTTCACCCTGCCCAGGGAGCTGGCGTAAATAAGGTGACCCGAGAGGACTGAGTATAGATTAGCCTTACGCTCCCCTTTTAACTTTCCTAAAAATAAGTAGTAATTTCCCAGCAGGGGGCTGAGTGAGCTTAGTGACACCCCAGCCTCTGCTCCACCAGGAACTCTGGAAAAGGCACCATCAGTCTCAAGTGGTGGGCAGCGTGGGCACAGAGGAGCAGTACCCTCTCGACCTCTAGTCCACTGAGTCTTTTCAGAGGTTCTGAGGATGCTGTGTGGAACTAATCCCACC